ATGACTGCATGAGCCTAAGGGGGACATCTAGACAGAAGCCGTAACAGTTTTGTTAACTAGTTAACATAATTTTTCAGCCTTTCAAATAAGAAAAAGGCTAATACACAGATGAGCAAAAAAGAGAATCCCTCAGTCCACCAAAGGAACACATATAAACTTCTCAAACCTGGAGAAGATTCTTGCTTTTGTAGTGGTCAGGGATGTGCAAATGCATCCTGGCCGCAGCCCAGATCCTGTCTGTGCCAGGCATGACGTGCACAAGCCTGGTGACCCACGGCTAGAGGGGGAGAGAAAGGACCAAACAGTGATGATGAGGAAGCTCCTGGCTCCTGTCAGGCTGTCACTGAATGAAGTAGAAGGGCACGGAAAGGAGGCAGGCAGGACCAGCAGAAGGTCCTCACCATGCCAGCCTTAGCGGCATGAGCCATGGTGCCCACAGTTCTGCTGAGGGGTAAGCTACAGCAGACACCCGGCAGGCTAAGGTGCATGTGAACAATTACAGAGCGGCAGGGATGCTGGGACCCAGGAGTCACACTGCTCCAGCTAGCAGCCACCTTGTTGGCAGCACAGTGCCTCAGAGGGCCTCTGGGATCAGCTGCCGTACCTGGTTACCAGATGTTTGAAGTTTCCAGGCTCTGAAAGTTAAAAAGAGCATCTTCCAACATTTTTCAAACAAAGTGGGTAAACCAAGGGTAGGCAGAAATTATACAGCCTAGGAAGCCATGACACTGAACACAGAGGCCAGCTCCCACAAGGTCCTGCTTACTGCTCCACATGGTTCCATGGTAGAATCAGGTCCAATCCACACTAACGCACAGGGCTACCGAAACCTCAAGGGGAGACGAGCTGAACCAGCCCTCCTTTTGGGAAGATATGTCCACTCAAATTCCAGCAGGGCTAGGGCTGAGACAGGATCTGATGCAGGCCTCGTGGCCCTGAGAAAGGGCCACCACGGCACAGGAGAGACACAGGCTGAAGAGGGATCAGTGGTGAGGAGAACATGAACATCCTGAGGTGAGGGGTAAGAGACAATGAGAAAGGCAGAGGTGACACACAGCAGTGTGCCACACCACCTCTGAATGGAGAGAAGGATGAGGGCGAGTGGGTGCTCCTGGATGGCAGTCAGCTCCCACTTGCTCCCACCTTCCACTCTGTGTGGCACCGAACCGAGCAGGGGCACAGTGGAATGAGTCAGGGCTCACCTAGGTTACGCTCCAAGTCTCCTTGACATGGTGGAAAGAACAAGCAGAAATGAATCGGGGTGCAGAGGACAGAGGGGAGCTGAGGACGATCAGAGAGGACAAAGTGACATGAGTGTCTCCAACAGGAAACTTAAGCATCACATGGCAGCCTGGCTGCAGGGAAGGTAAAGGCAGGTGGCAGAGCTGGTCCTGGTTGGACACACATGGAAATGACAACTCTGCTGGGACACAGCTGAGTAAAGGCAAGAAGCCCAGAGGTGGACTTGTGTGACCAGGAGACACAGCAACAGGATTTGGCAGGCGCTTGGCTGACCACCCCAGGGCAAGACAGCATCCCCTGTGACAAAAGCGGCATGGGCCACAGAGAGGCCAGCTGTGGGAGTGGGGAGCACAGCAAATCCTGGAGCTGAGGAAGGCAAGGGACCTTGCCATCAGATTGCCGGTGTAATCACCCAAAAGATGCTCCAAGAGCTGAAGACAGAAATGGAGATGGAGAAGCCAAAGCCAGTAATGCGTGATGGGAGGGAGACGCCTCAATAATCAGCAAAGGACAAGTTGAGGATGGTGGGTGGAGTGGTAACTGGTTGTCTGAACTCTGAAGAAGGCTTTGCATAATAGCAGATGAGAAACAGCGGCTAGGAGGAGGCTGCCCCCATCTCAGTTCAAGGTACCAACTGCTAAAAATGAGCAAGCTCTGACTGCAGAACAGTAATGAAAGCAGGAGCCCCGGAGAGTTACAGTCGAGGAGGAGAGGCCGAGAACAAGAGAGGCGTATTTATAGCATAGGAAAGGTCTTGTCCCCAAGGGCTCACGGCTGGGAGTCAGCAAGGAAGGCGCCAGCCAGGGTGAGTACACCCCCTGCAGAGGAGGAGAGAGGCAGCCAGCCAGCCTTATCGGGGAGGCAGCCAGCCTCTCTCAAGGGGAAGATGCCCCGGGCTGGCGCAACCTAAGATTCCAAGTGAGGTTGGAGGCCAACCAGGAGGCTCTGAGAAAGGACACCTTGGCTCTGCAGGCAATTCCCCACCCAACTCACAGCCACTGACAGCAACTCACTAAGACCAAAAGGCACAGAGCTCCAGAGCAGAGCTAGAGGGACTGGCAGGGCCTCACACAAAGCCTCGTCTTGAAACCAGAGGAGGGGATTAGCTGGCCTGCAAACATTGACCATGTACAGACCACAGCAGCAAAGGGGACAATGGATCAACTTCCCGGCAAACAACTCCAGTGCACTACTAAGAAAACCAAGCACAACAGCAAAGAGACAAAAAACACCAACAGGTAGCTCATGGGGAAAGCCTGGTGGTAGAAACATATGAAGAGTCTCACCCTGGCTGGAAGGAAGGAAGTGGATAGATGGATGACTGACAGACAGATGGACCGACACACAGATCATGCAATGTCCTCCTCTAGGAGCAGGAAACACGCAACATGCACCTTGGCACTGTGCAGCAGGGAGCGTAAACTGGGATAGTGCCTGATAAATACCGTGTCTTACTTCTCAAGTCACTCACTCCTGGAGTACTCACATAGGCGAGCAAGGAGAGATCCGCCAACCTTGTTCACTACAGCAGTGTATGTGCAGAGAACCTACAAAGGCCCACCTGAAAAGAACCCAATGCCCACCATCCAGGGAAAGGGTACCTCAAGTGTTCCATCTACTCTGATAGAAGATACTAAAATTAACTAGATCCACAGACAATTTGTAAAACTTTACCCAACAAACACTAACGTGAATGTGTTATACTGTGATACACATACTACTCCTGTACATGCAAGTTAGCACAAAACACTGAAACAGACCAGAGCCTGTGGCCACACAGGACGGCATGAACATACTCCATCTAGCTTTACGCCATGCAGCTATAGATGCTGAACAGAACACTGTACAAGTAAGCAGGGAAACTGAGGTCTCTGGAGAGCAAAAAGTAGCTGGCAGACTGGGAAGGAGAGCAAGATTTGAAGAATGCCAACCAGCGCTTGCCCTGGCTGTGATGCAGGAGCCTGAACCTAGCAGCTGCTCTGCCCATCATGGGAGGCATTCCAGGTTCAGGTCCTGGTCCAGGCCTGAAAATAGGGAAAAGGGTCTGCTGGCAGCACTGTGGTGGCAGTGGAGCCACCGGCAACTCAGACTGTATGGCAGGGAAGCTGAGGGCCTCTGAGTCCCCTGCAGGACTGGACAAACTATGGGCAGAGTCCCAGTGGCGGCAGCAGCACAGTAGGGGACACCACACTCCGACATTCCAAGTGGTTGTTGGAAACAGAGGCTGCTCTAGAGTTAGGGGCTCTGGAACATGGCCCACAGAGCTATAAACTCCCTGCACACCTTACAGTGTGTGTGGCTCTCATTATAAGCAGCCCTCAGACACTCAGAACCAGGGGGATGTGTGGCCACACCCACATAGGCCCCCGGTGACATGAGAGGGACATGGGCAGAGCCACAGAACTGGAAATGTGTTTCTGGTTTTGTTTGGTTGCTGTGACTTGGAGAAAGGATGGGATTTACATTGAAAATGCTTTCACTGGAACTCATGACCCAAACCCAACACGGCTGATTACATTCTGACAGATTTTAAACAAGACCAAGTCTTATAGTATTCCAAGTGCCAGAGTGAACCCCAAATTATTTTGTATGCAAATAAATAGGAAAATTTCAACTCACAAACAACATGAAGGCATGCATAATACAAATGCTGGAAGTATCCAGCACAGACTTTTAAAGAAGCTATTACTGAAAAACAAAACAACAGCGCTCCAACAAGTAAAAGCCCATACTTGGAATGGATGGTGTAACAGGCAGAAGCCTGAAATAGCTCCCAAGATTTCCTATCCTGGAGCTAGGGCTGTAACTCAGTGATAGAGCACTTGCTTCACATGCCTGAGGCTCTGAGTTTAATGCACAGAAGTGAAAAAAGAACCCTGCCCAATCCCAGGACTATAAATGTATCGTATCCTTATTACATTAAATTACCCAGCTTGGGGGATTCTGCAGCTGTAATTAAAGTTACTAATCAGCAGACTGAGGCAATCACAAGGGTTTATAAAGGTTTGCTTAATCTAAATACATAGCCCATAAAAAGCAGTGTTTTCTGGGACAGGAAGCAGAAGAGGAAATTGGAGAAAGAACTCAGGGTAAGAACTCAGCGAGCTGCTGGCCTGAAGATGCAGCCCCCAAGGGAAGGAACGTAGTCTGGCTGCATGAGAGTGAGTACCTGAAAGCACCTGCAAGCAGATTCTTCCCTGGAGCCTCTAGATACCATGCAGCAGGCACCACCTTGATTTTGGCCTTGGAAGTCCCCCAAGTAGAGAACCTAATCAAGTCCCAAAGACTTATGACCAACATAACTGTGCTTCATCCACTGGTTTGTTGTAATCTCTTAGGTAATACCAATAAACCCAGCAATTCCCAGGACTTCTGTTCCAGAACTGCTCGTAAGTCGGATTCATTCATAAGCCAACAAAGCGAGTCACCCACAGCACACCTGTGGAAGTCTGCAACTAGAATGTGTGTAAGTTAGGGACTCCTGCAAGGATGTGGGTACTGCTATAACAAATACCCATCAAAGTTCATTCTGGGAGTATTAATATAATCCCTAAGTGTTACATGGTAGTACTGGGGACTCACTGACTGCTTTAGAATGAGAACATCCTTTTCTTCTTTTTCCAACATGCTACTTAACAGATAGCTCTCTAAGCAATTTTTTTTCCTTTTAGAATACTGCCAAATCAACTGAGTGTACTTGAAGCCCATTCTAAGTAATATCTGCTCCCTGATGAGTATGTGAGCTAGCATCCACCTACACTTTGAGTTTGGTGCACTGTCCTGGCTTCAAGTCCCCCAGAAGCTGCAACATGGTGTCCAACAGCACCCGACTGGAATTCACCAGGAACTCACGGCCGCAGGCTATGGCAGCAACATCTGCAACAACAGAGATGAAACGCAGTGTCAGGGTCACAGGGGCTTCGGAGTCAGGAAAACTCTGTCCAGGACAGAATGCCTAACAGTCCTCAGGAAAACAGACGATGAGGCACTGACCATGGTGCCACTCCTGAGCAGCCGCCCCAGCACAAGAGTTACTCTGGGGAGCAAACACCTCTGCCAGGAGCAGAGAAGGGGCCCTCCCTGCCTGCAGCACCATGCTGACCATTCGACCAAAAGCTGAAGGGTTGCCTGGGAGGTCAAGGGTGGCTGGCCTTCCTGGCACTGAGCATGCCGAAATGACTTGCAGTCCTGCCGGTGTCCACTGATGACTTCTAACTGTAACATGAAGCTGAAATCAGGCCATCATCGAGAACAGTATGACCATCATCGAGAACAGTATGAAAGCAGACTCTGAAAGAACCCTTTTCCTAAATGTCCTGTCCTACTGTGATTAGCAAGTGTAGATCTCCCTACACAAGGTCTGCAAACCATGCTGGGCACCACCATGAGCCATTCTGCTCAGGCACAGCTCAGCCAGGCCGCCAGCCTCCCCTGAAGCTTGTCTGTGTACTCAGTGACCCAAGGACAGGACACCTGTTTGTAAGAGTTCTCTTCAGTGGGGATGATCAGCAAAGTAATCTAACATGACTACAAACCCTGCGTCAATTAACAAACTCAGGGAGAAGTGCAGTGGGGTGGCAGCGGCCTGGCCTTCTCCTTGGCTTTAAGGGATCAGCAGCCCAGTGGGATGTCTCATCACACGATGTCTTTCTGGTAGACATCGTTTACCAGCTTAAGGGTTTTTTCTTTGATTTGTTGTCTGCCAAGAATTATCAAAAATGGAGGGGGAGTCAGGCACGGAGGTACACACCTACGATCCAAGCACTCGGGTGGCTGAGGAAAGGACTGCGCATTCCACGGCAGGCTTGAATTAACAACACAGTTAATTCAAGGTCAGCCCTGAACATATAGGGAGACCTTGTCTTGAAAGACAGAAAGTGAATCGCTACAGCTACTTGTTCTATCTTTGACTACCTGTGATCTGACTGCAGAATATAAATTTTCAATAGTGCTACCAGATTGATTTTATAAAATCAGATTCTTCATATTCCTACTTGTTTTGTTTACTTGAGCTGAGGAGGACCAGGTGGAGAATGTTAAAATCTCCTAACTCTGCTGGATCCCTGCCCCGCCCACATCCATCTGTTTTCCAGCACTCTGTCTCATAGTCTCATAACTGAATGCCCCACACTTTGAAGAGCAGCAGCAAATGTCCTGTCAGACCCTGATCAAACTGCACTCATGAGCAAGAGAGACATCGCTGCTATATTTTGGGGTGATGTGTGTTATGGCTTGTGTTTAGATATACCCCCAAAGCCTCATGCAGTCAGGGTACTTTACTGGAGATGTATGAAAAGAGTGTATGATTGATTCATAGAGCGATGCTGGGGTTAAGGATGTGAGTGCCACACCCACTTAAGGGCAGGGATCCTGTATAGAACACCAGAGTCAGAAAAGAGTCCTGTCTCTCTTTTGTTGCTTTTGCTGTTTTCCACTGCCCTGAACTGTTGCCTCCTCCACCTTGTGATACCCTGACAGCTGGTCATGGACTGAAACCTCTACAAACTGTGAGCTGAAGAAACCTTTCCCTTTTTAACTTTGGGTGTTAGATATTTTGTCTCAGCAATGAAAAAAGCAACTAAGATAGTTTGTTACCCAGAAATAGATAATGTGGACAGTACTACTACATCACTGAAGCAAACATAGGAGAAAATATTATATATTTTATAGCCTAAGTCACAGCAGGCAACAACTCCCAACACATTTATTGGCAAATGGAGCCCTATGCTGTGTACCCTAGTACTGTAACAGCAAATACTAATGCTGCACTTTATTGAACAGCAGTAACTAAATGTGGATGAATTCCTACAGTGCCAGTATTTGTCAACCTCTCAGAATTTATTCACATTTATTTTAATCATAGATAGCACTTTAATTACTGGTATCTCATCCGTCCGAGGTGCTTGGGAGTTATTTAAGAGCCTACAGAATGGATTCTGCTGCCATTTGCCACAGCAGACAAAAGTTTGGTTTAAAGTTTTCCAGTAAAAATGGCAGATAGATAAGAGCAGAATACAGAGGCTCCCTGAGACAGACAACTCAGATGCTGAAATAACACATCATAGGGAGTCCCAGACAGAGGGAGATGGATCCTCTTGACCCAGGAAGAAACTAAAGTGAAAAGAACCAGTCAAACATGCAGTCCCAGGGCTACTATTAAGGCAGCTAAGATTCTGTGCTCTCGCATGCCTGAATTCCTGCTGCTTTGACTCGCTGGAACCGCAGTCACACTGAAGTGCAGTTGCACTGAAGATGGAGGTCGGCAAGCCCAATGGAGAACAGAGCTGGCAAGTGAGTGCCAGAAATAAAACCCTTCCATGGGAAAGGGGCACCAATGGGACAACATTTTGGAATTTGGCAGGACTGGCAAGAACAAGGAACAGCAGTGACTTCAGTCAGTTGTTCCCTTTCCAGATGAGATTGGTGGGGTATGCTTGGGTCAAGCTTCAGAAGAACCGTAACCAACAAGGAAAGGGACTGGGACCTCCTCTATACACCTATGGAAGGAACCAAAAACATGAGAAGAGGAAGAAACAAGAAAATGTCCCCAGCCTCCAACCCTGAGAACACTGATCCAGGAGAGGTAAATACAAAAGAGATTGAGGACAGCAAACATGCAATGTCAGACAAGGCATCAGTGAACATAAAGAGATATTTTTGGGACCTCATAGATGAGTTCAAAAGTAAAATATTTAACCAAGTAAAGTAAGGTATAAGTAGATTAATAAAAGAAATGCTAAGTACCTCTCAAGAAGACACAGAAGAATGGAGGCACACAAAAAAAGGAGAGAAACGTTTGATAAAGAATATAAAGAAAACATAATACATGAAGCAGGTTCAGACCAGAAAATAAAAAACTCAATTAAAAGCTGGCAAAACTGCTTGAAAGAAATTAAGGATAGATTATCCAAACTGGAAGACAGGTTTGCAATGTGTGATCATGAAAGGAAAAATTTCTTAAAAATAACAAGGAAACAAGCAGTAACAAAACAAAGGCTAGAAGACAACAAGAAGGTCTATAACTTAAGAATAAAAAATGTGAATGAAGAAGCACGGGTACAAACAAAGGAACTACAAAGGCTATTCACAGAAATAATTAAGGAAAACTTCCCAAGCATAGGAAAAGGAAATGATATTCAGATGTATGAGGCATACAGAACTCCAGCTACCTACAACCAAAACAGAGCTACACCAAGGCATGTAATAATCAAGATCCCAGATATTCAGTATAAGAACAGAATATTTTAAAAAGTCAGAGAAAAGAAATAGATCACCTATAAAGGAAAACCCATAAAAATCATGGCAGACTTCTTGACACAGACCATCAAATCAAGAAGAGTTTGGAGCAAAGTATTCCAAGCTCTGAAAGAAAATAACCTCCAGCCCAGATTGATGTACCTGAAAAACTGTCTCTAGAAATTAATGGAGAAACAAAATGCTTCCAAGACAAAGAGGAACTGGGGGAATTCACAACCACCAATCCAACTCTACAGAGAATACTGAAGGACATTCTAGAGAGAGAGAAAAGTACCAGGATTCCAGGAAACAGTGCCAGAAAGGCCTCAATGAATGGAGCAGACAGTAGAATGAAGAAGAAAAGCAGACAACGAATGGCAGAAAAAGAGCACAACAGAAATGAGGCAGAGAAAGTTGGCTATAATCGCTAATATAGATGGCTTTGATACACTAAAAAAATGAAAAGAAAAAAAAGAGAAATACAGGCAAAGTAGATCAGGACGTAGGGTCCACTGAGATGCTCTTTATAGGAAATATGATTAATCTGAAAAAGGGTTCATTGACTGAAAATCAAATATGAAAAAACAATGCTCTGTGTGACAGGGAACCAGACAGTAATAGAGGCAACTCGACCAGTATTTGTAGATAGGTTAGAAAGACAGGCTTTCATAGTTAAAGGAATACAACTAGAGATCAAGTCCAGGAGGGAGAAGGTTTGGAACCAATTAGGTAAATAGCAACTTTTTCCTCACCAATCTAAAAATTGAGGGTGTTGGTGAAACCCAAAAATGCACACTGCACCCTGGGGGAGTGAAAGGGGAGGAATAGTCTTAAAAAGGATGGCAGAGGATATTGTTAATAGTGTATCAGGATTTTTTCTTTGTTTTTTCTTGTCCCTGAGTACTGATTTTTTTTTAGTGTATCAGGATTTAAAACCCACATTACTCACACCATTCTGCTTAGATTTTATTCTGTCCCAGTTTGTCTACTTGCACTAGATCTGAGGGCACAGACAGCTATCCCAAAAATAACAGGATGTAGTACAGTCATCTTTAATTTACTATTAATTTAATCTGGAGCCCTGTATAACTTATACTGTTTTATCATGATTGATCTTAGTTAAATGTGGTTTAGCTGGGGATTTAGCTCAGCGGCATAAGCACCTGCCTTGCAAGCAGGCAGTCGTGAGTTCGATCCCTGGTACCAATAAAAAGTTAAAAAAAAAAGATTTCAGTTAAATCTGGTTTGTTTGATTGCTGTTTGGTATCAACAGATTTTATTCAAAACTGTTATGATTGATAGTATCAAGGCTGAGAGTATAGGCAACTACACTGAAGATGACAAGATTCCCTATGATACCCATTCTGGTTTGATTATTACCCATTTTTGAAGTTTTATAATATCTACAAAGTTTTTTATTAATATTGTTATGTACTACTATATTCAATTATACTATGTCTGATGATACAGACAATTCTATTGAAGATAACAAGAGACAACACAGTAACCATTGTAGAACTCTTTGTATAGTGGTCTTATATGTCTTCTTCGTTTCATGTGTTTATAGGAATATGTTTTGTTTTGTTTCTCCCTCTAATATAGAAAGGATAGAAATACATGTTAAGACTCATGCATGCATA